CAATTTTATTAAATAAATTTTCTCGTAACAGATTCATGTTGTCTGAACCAGGAAATCTGCCAGCAATACCAGAAATAACAATTTCCTCGCCGGAGTAAGTATCGTTCCACGATGCTTTGATGTTGTACATGATTTTGAATTATTTTCTCGGATTATCTAAATGTAAAGTGCTATATTTATTTTATATAATTTATTCTTTTTATGACATTGTCAACTATACCTGGTTCTGATGTTCGTAATATTTTGTTTGAGTTGTAGATGGGAAATGATTCTGGTCACTTCAATATAAGATAAATCATTCTTTATGTAATCTCTTCAATTCAAATGACTATTTTAAAGTGGACTCTTGCGATTTTATAACTAGGTATTGTTATCGTCATATTCATAAATCTTTGTGATTCTATTATGATCATTTTGTAATTTAAAGTAGATATTTCCATTTAAACAAAAGAGACAAAGGGGGAAAAAGAGAAGAATCAAAATTTAAATTAAAAAACATGAGCTGCATACTTTAACATATCTTAGACGTAAGGTAACTACTAAAATTGGACAAAGTTAAATTTAAAAAATCTAACAATTGTCTAAGAACAAATATCGGATTTTTTTATTATACATTATGCCATACAAAATAGTACAGGTTAAGCATCTTTCTACATAATATTTTATTTAGTTTTACATGAAATGTTCTTAAATAATTGATAATTATTCTTATTTTATCTTAAAATTTATTTAGCTTTTAATTATGTACTTATATAAAAATAATTAATAGTTTTAATTTTATTTTTTCAAATTATGTATACATTTTTTATTTTAATGTCTTTCTTTTATTGCGTTAAAACTTTCTTATACTAATTGTAAGATGATATAAGAAATTTTTATTACAGTAGAATAAGCTAAACTCATTAAAGGCTTTAAATAATAATAATTAATGTAATTTATATAGTTAGATATGTAGTTAGATTATACAGTTAGATAATGTAATATATATAGTTAATATACATATATAGATTTTGATCCGATTTTATAAAAGTGGATAATATAATAAGAAATATATTTTAGATGCGTTCTAGTGTAATTTTTTGGTGTTTGTTTATACGGAATAATATGGTAAATATTTTTACTGTCTTAACAAAATCACAGTATAGTATAGCTAGGAACATATACAACAATATAAAGCTTTTATAATAATATTTTAATTTTCTGTATTCTAGCAATTTTATTGAATGAATAAAGAAGCACAATGACTGCAAGTAAGGTAATGAGTGGTCATCATGCGTGGTCAAAATAATGACTTATTCATGCATGCAAATTATATTAATTAATATACATTTATTGTAAACGTGTCTGCATAAAATTAATTGTAAGCTGTTTAATATTGAAATTGTGTAAGTACATATCACACACACCACATTCAATTTATTTTTTCTTTTTAATTTTTGAAATAAAGTATTATATGTTTCTTCTTCTCTCATTTATTTAATTATTTGTGTTATATAAAACATGCACGCATGCACGTACGCACATTATCCATTTGTTACACAAGACTCAAAAAATTAAATTATTTAAAAAATTAACGTTGAATATACTTAGAATTATTAAAGTTACGTAATATTAATTTAAAAATCTATTTTGGTATAATTGATTATAGAGAAATCAAAGCGTTTTTTTTTCAAGTATATTCCTTCTTATTTTTATGTCTCCGCGCTCTTTCTACAAGGAATTAAAAAATGATAATTTTTAAATAATATCGTTGTCGTAGGGAATGTATAATATATATTATATATATATATATAAAAGAAAAGAAGGAAAAGAAAAGGAAAAAGGAGAAAAAGAAGGGACTATATAAATGTATGCATGCATTGAATAAATTAATAATTTATTATACCTTAAGATAAATTACTTTTAAAGACATATAAACGTAATCTATAATCGCCTATAATTATCACGTTGCTGAGATGGAGATCCCGACATCAATGTCGAATAAATAAACGGCAAAACGGAGGCTAGTGCTAAACACAGACCGATGACTGGTCGATACCATACCCAAGCGAAACCAATCACCAATAAACTGATAGACATGGAGACCGACATCGTTACAGATTCGACTGCAATTATGCCGCAAAGGAACGTCGAATTTAATATAATCGTCTTTAGTATATTTGCTAAGCACGAGGCTGCCACGAACAAGACTAACCATCCTAGCCCTCTGTAACAAGAACGATGTTATTTAATCATTAATGTTATAAAATATTACATAATATTTCAAATATATACATAAATTTTTATCGATAATAATGTATTAAAAAATGTAATTTAATTGAAAATTATATTTAATTTTAAATTTTCAACAATAAGTATTTACAATTATTTTTAAAATTATTAATAGAATATATGTATACATATATTCTAAAATACTTATATTTTTATCCAGAAATTACCTGACAGTCCATGTTCGCCAGTAATTATGCACATGCTCCATATGAAACATCTGATCCACTGACATTTTATGCCTTCGTTGAAGCAAAATTTCTTCACCGTGAGATGTGTAATATGGCTTAATGGTGTCTTTTTCGAGCAAACCAACTACCGAGTAAACATCCCCGTTTTTTCCCGCGTAGGAAAATTGTATTCTGATGTCTCCCCCCTACAAACAAAGCAAGCCATACTACACTTACTATATATATTAGAGAAAAATAACAAATCAAAATAAACATTTTAAAATACAATAAATATTAAATAGTAGATGTGTGATTATAGAGAAATCCAACAGTTTTCTCTGGATTTGACAGAGTGGAAAAATCTTTTTCCAGAAATTTTGGGAAACTTTATCTTAAAACTTTCACTTTAAATTTTGTAATTATACAAATCTTAGTTTTCAGTTAGTTCCAAATAGTTCTAAATATTCTTGTGTTCAGAGAAAGAAAAAAAACTTTTGCAAACGACATACTTGTGGATTCCACAAATCTGCGCTGTGATAGTACAATCCAGAGTGCATCTTAATGTTCTTTCGCTCCGGTCTCTCGTCACTGGTGATCTCCACAAAATCGCTGAACTTCTTTTTCAATTCCATGCCAAGCGTGAAAGTGCCGATTTTAACTTCATCTGCGATCTGCACCTGGCTCTTGATTGGCATCTCCTTCGGATTGTGATGGCCGGTACGAATGTAAAAGTGATCCGAATCCACAAGTTTATCCTTCCATTCCGTCGTGTAGTAATAATGTTTTTCGTTCTCCGCTATTCCACCGAAACTGAAAACAAAGATTCAATACATTTAATGTATACTGAAATAATGCAATGGAGTATCTATTTGATACAGACTCAATATAATAATTTTCAAGGAAGGTTTTCGTTTTCGGCAATCGAAATGACAAGCATAAATTTCAATTTTGTGACCGAGCCCTTTCTACCTACCTCTGTTCCTCTTCGATTTCAACCCACTGATACATCTGAACCCTCCTCTTCAGCTTTACGCTCGACATAACAACTCCATAATCTGGCTCCGTTAATGGCTCTGAAACTTGCAAGGAGCCCGACAGATGTATCAAGCGGCCCTCGTATTCGGGCGAGAGCATCATTGAATTAGGAAGCACGACCACGTTGCGCAAAGCCTCGTCCAGGGAATGCGCCACTTTCACAGCTCTTCCCTGAAAGGACGCGGAAGAATGCACAGTCACAACTGCGGTAGAACGAATGGTAGAACGAATATTATGACAGAAAGTGCTATTCGCAAACCTCATTCCAAAACAGAAGGCACATGCCAGTGGCGAACATGATGGACCCGATTATAGCTGTCAGCCACGATTCCCTGAATTGCTCCGAGATCGTCATGGGCGTTTGATTCATGGCTTGTCTTCCATTGGGACTATTCTGGCGAACCCCGTCCGAAGCGCTTCCCCTTTGCGGCTGGCCATTCTGCTACAAAGCGTATGCTCCAGTATGCTCTCTACGAGTCTGTATCTAACTCTGTTAGTCTCAGTAAAATAATACTCTTGTAAGGCAAACAAAGTATATACTTACGTTGGTGCGGTACATCCCGATGCCGGGGTAATCTCGAACCTGAACGGCACTACCACACCATGGGTGCATTCCGTTTCAATAATTTCATTGCATGATGCGCATCAATTTATCCTTGTTAGTCACGAATTGAAGATTAAACGCGCGAAACGCACTCCACAGCTGATTCCTCGCTCGCGCGTAAACAACAAGGATAAAATGATTCCGTGAGCGCTGCAAGCGCCAAAGGCACGAATACGTTTGTCTCTGGTATCTAAAGACTCAATTCTGCCGGTAACAAAAAACCCTGTAAACTGTAACATGTTTGAGGTTTGAGGTTCTGACAACAGCTGAGACGTTCGCGTTTTCTAAATACATATATAAATTTTAAAAACAAACAGTAGGCTTTGTTATTTTACAGTACAATGTCAACGCGATTGTAAGTATCAACGACATTTTAGCACGTTAAGTAAATGACACAATGATGTTGACAGATTAAACTTTAGAAGAGACAACAATTCTAACCTTAATTTTATTTTCTAATAATACTCCATGTATAAATTACTCAATTGTGGCTATACGATTTCTAATTGATACTCCATTTACATTTAGCTACCCAATATATCAAAGAGGCAATCCACAGTTAAGGGTTTTCCTACCGAATTTCTGGATGAAACTAATCGCGCCTACGGATCAGCAGCCTCCGAACGTTGTGCAGTTTCACTGCTCTATGCAGATGACCAAGCACGATATAAAGAATTACCTTGAGAAGATATACAAAGTCGACGTAGTCGAAGTGAGGACGAGAATAGGAATGGGTAGAATCAAAAAGGATCAACTGCGAGGTGCCGTCATTAAGGAGGATGACAGGAAATTAGCCTACGTCGTGCTGGTTAGATTGCAACTATATTCTCCGATTTCTTTGTATAGAAAAAATATAAGAGTTAGGATTTTAGTAGAAGTAATTTCGTTCATTTTTTGCAGCCAAAGGATCAATCATTTGAGTTTCCTAATTTGTTCAAAGATGTAAAAGATGAACTTGACAAAGAAACCATGGACATGGCTAAAAAGGACATGCAGGACTTTCTAGAACCTCACAAAGCGCCCGGATTGCCTGGCTGGTTTAGGATATGAAGTGTACTACATATGCTACAGTATTTAAGGATTTATTACAAATAAAATGTATTTAAGTTTATATTCTTGAAATCGCTCAATTTCCTGTACAACCAGAATTTTTAAATTAATTTCTATTAAAAGAGCTTTTCTATAGTCTTAATATAATATAAAGATATCTCTTAATATAAGTATAAAGAATTTTTAACTTAATGAAAAGACTGATAAAAGATAGACCTATTATTTTTTTAACATATTTATTTGAAATAATTGTTTTTATTACTAATCTGTTTTTATTAACATATTTATTTGAAATAATTGTTTTTATTACTAATCTGAATTATTAAATTAGAAATAAATTTAAACATCAAATTGTAAATGGCGGCTCTCCGTTAATTGCAGCTAACACTTTCTCGTTTTTTAAGATCGTAATATGAGTACCCTCGACGTAATGTACTTTCAC